ATTGTAGGCGCTTAATCAAAGATTCCGCTAGACCATTTTGAGTGTGAACATGAGCAACTGGATGTTCAATTGTTATCCCAGTGGACAAACAATAATCATTAAAGGCCTGCGATGTAAACTCACCAGCATTATCAAGACGAATTGTCTTTATTGCATAATCTGGAAATTGTGCTCTTAATCTTATTATTTGAGCTAACAACCTCGCAAAAGCCATATTGCGAGTTGACAATAAGCACGCATGTGACCATCTTTTAGATGCATCTATCAAGACCATATAATATTTAAATGGCCCACATGAAGGGTGAATTGGCCCATATATATCACATTGTATACGTTCCAAAAATGCAGGGGATTCAATCCCAACCTTAGTTGCTGATAGTTTAATAACCAACTTTCCTTGAGAACAAGCAGCACAAGAGAATTTCTTTGCTTGAAGAATTTTCTGATTCTTCAAAGTATGCCCATGTGAATTCTCAATAATTTTGCGCATCATATTATAACCGGGATGACCCAACCGGTCATGCCAAATGATAAAATCATTAGGATTAGCAAACCCTTTGTTTACTATGACATGTGATTCAACCATACTAATACTTGTATGGTATAATCCCGAAGAAAATGCGGGTAATTTTTCATGCACATATTTTTGCCCCAATTTTACTGTAGTAATATAAAGGTATTCAACCTTTCCTTCATTGGCAGTCTCAACATGATAGCCATTTTGGCGAATAACCTTGAAACTTAATAAGTTTCTTTGAGACTTACTACAGTACAACACATTTTTAATATTTAATATCGTTCCCCTAGGTAATAGTAAGGCCGCTCTTCCAGAGCCCTCAATTAATTTTGCACTACCAGATATTGTATTAACATAAGCCTTTTTCATAATCAAATTAGAGAAATATTTCCTTTCTCTTAAAATAGTGTGAGTTGTAGCACTATCAAGAAGACACATATCTCCATTACTCATTTTGAACCAATTGAAGATTGAGGAATTTTATTATCTTCATAAAATAAAAATACATTATAAGAAATATGAAAATCAACAACTATGCAAGAAAATAAAATTACTTTTTTTTTCTGAATATAAAAACAACATAAGAAAAAGCATAACAATTAAAAGTACATAAATAAAACAACATAATTATTTTCCCCAATCAAATGATCAAACATTAGTTTTGATCTCCAAAGAAGTCTTCAACTTCCAAATGAGTAATATCATCAAGGTCATCAAAATCATCATCTTTTAAAGCCAAATTTGCTTCAATATTGTCATCATATTTTTGTGAAGGCCCTGCCTCGGCATCATTTTTATAGGTCAAGTGTGACTCCACCCGAGCATTAGAAGAAGATGCACCATTTTTATTTCCTTTTCTTTTCAAGGAATCTTGATAAAGCCTAACAAAATGCTCAGCTGCTCGGCATTCATTCTTCCAATGCCCTTTCATGCCACAACGATGACAATTGCCTCTTGAAGGATTGCTTTGAGAACCCATATTGTTCTCCCTTTTGTGGTGACCACCACGACAACGATTATTATATCGTCCTCTGCCATTGCCACGTCCACGCACATTATTTTGGCCTT